AACATACATGAAATTTTTGCGGAAGTTGTATGTAATTGCGGATATTGATCTCGTGGTAACACCTTGTAGAAATCTAATAAGTTGTGTAAATTTTTCTCTTACTAAAACTTCAGATTATTGTCTTCTTTTTGCTTTGTATCCTGACATTTAATGTATTCAAGTGGTCAATGAGGTCCGAAAGGAACACCAAGTCTTTTAGTCAATTATTGTCTGCCGTTTGCATAAAAATTTTATAATAATTCCTCATGAGCGTCAAGCTTATCTTATCTGAACTACGAGGGCCTGCCCTTGCCTATGCTGAGCAGCTCTGCTCTAGAAGAAACTAACACAAGCCCAAACTGGTTCAGTTTCGTTGTCACTAGCTGTACAGTTTTCAGACCCGTAACCCTTCCTTTTGTACAAACTCTGGCTCTCATATTATACTGTCTCTGAACATAACATTTTCTAGGAACCTATCTATCATGTTATAGGACATTTCCTTCACTCCACATGCGTAAAACGATCCTTGGTCGACGCTAGATTGAAATCCAAAGCACGTATGAATGATGAATGCATGAAGATAGGAAATCTGCTTACCGTTGAGACCATATTTCTCCTGATTCCTCTGAACTTGATCGACGGACAATCCTTTCTCAGGATCGACGTTGAAGAAGTTTACAACCTCATCCACTGTTTTGCAATGGGCGTCCTCCATGGCTACCTCTGTATTAGTATGTCACTAATCTTATCTGTTCAGTGGTCGTCCACGTTCATTCACACTGCGGTTTTCTGCAATTCAAACAAACGATTACGGATTAATAATCAGAGGTCAAACTTACGTATTCGAATGCGCGTAACGACGACGCAACAAATGGAAAAATCGCCCAAACTTAATAAACAAGTCTGACTAAGGAACTCCTGCCTGATTTAATTTACGATTATAGTGGATGTTTTTAATATATAGAACGAGAAAGTAGGCCTCTAGGTGAGGACCTTGACTAATCCGCAGCGTGCACGCGTTCACGAGACGGATAATTCCAGGTTAAACTATGTCCGACGTGAACAATCCCCGAGCCACGCGTCCCGGTCTGACCAACCCCACGACTAATTAACGATTATCCCGGTCGATTAAACAGAGTGAAACTCACCGTGGACAAAGCACGGAGTATTCGCTGGCGACGTGTCACAGAGAAATTACGTTACGGCTGTCGAATATTTAGGTTAGCTACAGGTCCCGAAGATGCACTCGAGCACACAATACGAAGGAGCAAGAGAGAGAGAGAGAGAGATACAGAAAGAGAGAGAGAGAGACAGACAGACAGAGAGGAAGAAACGAAACGAAATTAACCGTCGACGACTAAACTCGTTCGAACACTTAAACGAAAACGTTCTGCGACGTATCACGATACCCGAGCACAGAAATTTGAGACGCGCGTCATTTTCTTCACGATATATCCTCTCTAAATGCCGAGCGAACCTCTTCCGTGAGACTGACACGGCGAACGACGAATCATTGCACACGTCCGCCACCTGACGGAATGCGCCGCAAGCGGCCGCGTCGGGAAACGCGCGTGCGTTTCCCGCAAATTCCCGACGAGTTCAAGGGTTGGTTATTAAACGGCCGGGGGGGCAGTCGATGCCGAACGCCCGTCAATGGGTTAACGACACGGTCCCCCGTTTCGCCCCCGGGGCATTCGTAGAAGTTTCCGCGTAACGTAAACTCGTCCAACGAATTCGACGATTCGGCGCAGCAGAAATACGAGTTCGCCGTCGTACGAACAGAGCATGTGGAACGACGCCATTGGCTGGACGCCGTTCGTCGAGTGTGACGCACTCGGCTATTTTCAGTCTTCTGCTAGTCTATTTCCTTGGCGCGTATTTTAAGATACCGAAAGGACATCGTCGTTACATAATTTCAAACCGCAGACAGTTCGCCGAATCACCGAACATCAAATCCTCGCTAAACCGGTTCCTGTCGTTCAGCTCACGCCACAAATTCTACGTTCATCGAATTCGTTATATAATAGAAAATCATGTTATGTAACAACGATTTATAAAATTTGTTGTATTTCGTTTATATCCTGAATTATGTATTAGATTTGTGTACAAATAAGCATCGTTTAGAATTAAGTCGTCGACGGTCAGCTTAATTCGTGTAACGTTAGTCGTTAAGGCGGCTCACATGAAAACGATTTAAACATTGTAAAACATTAATTTACACGTGAGAATTTGCGCCCTGGTTTTTTAATTTTGATAGCGATCGGTGGTGGGGTTTTCAGGGTTAACAGGGTCGAGTGTAAAGGTCGTGTAACGAAGGTGTAAGCCAAGGTTAGAGTTAAACTTAAAAGCGTGAATGCCAGAGCAGGGATCGGGGTTACGATTTCGCTCGAACGATCGCGTTCGGAGTGAGAGATTTGAGAGAAACCCGAGAGGAACTGACCCTTTCGATGTAGAAACGAGCGAACATCCCCTCAGGGATGATCATATCAAGGAGTTTCAAAAGAAGTGGACGCTACGCGTCGAAGCCGAAGATGAGAGACGAGACACGAGTGGAGATTTCTAATGGACTGCCGGTGCAGTTGGGAAGCGAGAAGCTCGTTGGGACACCCGGGACGCGACTAACCGGGCAAAATCGCGCGTGTCCCAGCGGACGGTTTTAGCACGTCTCTGACGGCGACTTCCTAATTATTTTGGCAGTGCTGGCCACTCTCGTTTTCCCTCCCCTCGAGCTACCCTCCGATCCTCCCTTCAGCTAGTTTCAACATTATTCTCGTTAACCTTGGAAACCAACTTCGAGGGTGCCTACTAATCTTCATCGATAGGATTGAGGATCAGAATATGCGAATCGGATAATACGCGACCGTTAGGTAATACACTGGCGCTGATATAATGTTAGCGATGGCGGCGGTACGGTTTCTATTTGAAGATGGGATGCAACACGGTGGACGGGTGCTATAAAGATAGCAAATGTAGTACGTTTGTTGGCAAACAAGCAGAGATCGTGTTGGTACGTAACGCGAGCCTAGCATCGGCGATGAGGCAATATACGTTTTGCTGGTTTGGCTGGCCAGTTGGGCTGATACACTTTCTGGCCAGCCAGCATTCACTGGACCGGGGGGGTTAATTCGCGTCACTAAATGCTTCTGACAACGGGAAATCGAGCGTGAAACGAACGAATGTCTCTCGGGATTTTGCACGGGAAGAGAGCCGCTAAATTTAAATCCTTTTCCCCGGTACCGATTCACCCCTACCGCCCCCTCCTCCTCCTCCTCCTCCTCCACCGAACCTGACCTTCGTGTCATGGAAATAAAACTTAAAGAAACTCCTCGATCTTTTTGATCATCCATTCTCATCTATCACTGGACACCGTCGATTCTATCAAACACTATCGGTATAGCCTCCTTTCTCCCTTCTCACGATGTCCATCGATAAAAGTCCACCAGTGTAATAAAAAGATCCACAGAAGTTGCTGTTTCAACCAGTCCCTAGCCCCACACAACAACACTTCTACGGTTCCGATTAATCGATCGCACTGTGTATATAGCATCGTCGTGGTGGTGGTCGTCGTCACAAAAGCACTGCGGGTATGTCTGCGCGGCAACCGGACTTACCAATGCTTCTGTTCCACTTCACCAGAGTCCAGTCGGCCGAGAACGGAAACCGGCGACCGGCTGTTGCTGGATCCCGGTCTCACTCAACCAGCGATCCTCTCTCGAGTCTCGTCGAACGGAAATAATTTGCGATTGAACAGAAACGAAAAAAAAAAAAAGAACGAACGACGGATCGGTAACACTCGTTAACTTGCGACGATATATCCGACGCAGACTCGCTCGCTACTCCAGCGTGTACATCTTCAGAGAACGCGCGATTGTTCGTTTTAATCTTTACATGAAGGGCGGTAACAAACAAACATTCAAAGGGCAACGCCTGCGCTGCTGAACGGAACGAAGCGACGAACCTCGTCGAAATTCCTTTAAATAGTCCGTAGCCGTCGCTACCTGCCGGCGAGACAACGAACGATGGAAAACTCTGGCCGGAAGCCAGTGGTCCCGGCCGCTGCACAGCCTCCCGTTGTCTCTACCCGCACGTTTTTTCCATTTAACCTTCGGATTCGGCGATCCGCCGCAACCAGAGTTCGGAAAAATCGCGGGACGCCCCTACGGCGGCTGCTGACTTCCGCCGCCGGTCCCGGTTCCGCTGCGACCGACACTCTTCAACTTCCTCATTCACATTTGCTTTCAGTATGCAAAAGCTTCGGAAAAATTCATACCTTCACAATCTGTGAAAATCAGAAAATTCTAATCCATTTTATGAAATATAGAAGGTTAACCCTTGTCGAAGGTCACGCCCTTAAAGGAATTAAATCTGGAATTAAAAGATGTCGGATAAATTTAGGAATTCACTGAGTCGTCGTTTAATGGACATAATTGAATGTACAATGTTCATATTGGAAATGTTCAAGGTGGGCATTTTTCTGAAGATCGAAAATAGGTGGTTGGCTTTGTTCCAAATGCGATATCAACTAGATCCTCGAAGACAATCTATCGGACTCCGCGGAAAATTTGTTGTTCGCCCATTTGCGATCCGCGACACTCGCAAACGGGCGTAACGTGGCCATGGATCAAATACGGGTTTCTCACAACGAATCCTGCTCGTTTCGCCGAGATGTTATGTAATTTTATGCACCGAAAATAGGACCGTGCCATTTTCTAATTGTTCCGCACTAATTTCGATCATCGCCGCCAGCCTCGACTTTCATTGCTCATTACTTAACCTCACTTTTACTTAAACTTGATAGAAGTTCAAGCAGAGATTGGAGTCGATGACTCGGTGATTGAGAGTAAAACAAAATGGCACAAAGTTATTATGACAGAGACTAACTTAAGAGAAGCTTAACTACTATTAGGTTGGGAAATAAGTTCATAGCGTTTTTATAATTTCTTTTATTTTACAACGATTTGTTTGCTGTTTGGCAACGGGTAAGTATTCATTCGATAGAACTCTTTCTGCTCTACAAAACTATGTTAATTGTATTTTTGAGTTATTTAATTTTTTATTAGTTTTCAGGCTTAGAAATGGAATACCCAGGAGGCAAAAATCAACATTTTCGACACCTGCTCTTCTTTGCTTTTCATCGAGGTCAAAAAGCTGCCGAAGCAGCCCGGGACATTTGCGACGTGTATGGAGAAGGTGTCATAGGCGAGTCTACAGCACGGAAATGGTTTGCAAAGTTAAAAAATGGCGACTTTAACGTCGAGGACTCGTCCCGCAGCGGAAGGCCTTCTGAATTCGATGAAGAACGTCTCAAATCACTTTTGAAGGAGAACGGTCGCCAAACCAGTCGTGAATTGGCGGAAAAAATGAACTGCGATCATAAAACGATTCTATAATTGATTAACTTATTGATATAATTATTGTTTTTTGTTTAAATAAAAGTCTTCGGTAAAAACGCTACGAACTTATTCCCGAACCCAATAGATTTTCATTGAAAATGTCATAAACCTGAATCGAAGAAAACTTTGACCGACGATTGAACAAAAATTTAAACTCAAACGTGTTTCGCGTGAGGAAGATTGTTCATAAATAGGATCATAAAAGAAGCTGCCCACGCGACGGCGGCGCCTGTATGATTCAAGTGTACGAAGCACGAGGGTAAGGCAGGGAAGAAGGAAGAGAGCAACGGTCAACGTTCCGTGCGGTTACTAAATAATATATTACGTTCGCTCTGTTTGTGAAAATCTAAGTAAATCTGGGGCCTCATGGATGATAAAAAATGGAATGAACCAAAGCTTTCACTTCTTCAGTTCCATTGACTGTTTAACGACTTTCGATGGATTTACGGATCACCAACTCGTTGGCTATGAAGTTCCGGAGAAGTCATCGGTATTCTCTTCTCATTATAGCGAACAAAAATAGACCTCGTCATTTCGTCGCTTACCAAGCAGTGCGCGGGTTCAAAGCATGGCGTTATTTTTACGCAAAACATAAAGCGTTACGTAAAAGCTGAACGTACGCACCGGATCGTCGATTTGTATTTTAAAATCGTCACATTATTAAGAGTAAAATACTTTACGACCACAAAAACATTTATCAACTGTTTTACATGATATATTCACTGTCTGCAGAATGATCCAGTTGATTTTTACATCTAGGAAGCATCGATGTTCTGAGAAATACAAATCTTTATCTCGATAGACGCATCAGCGTTTAATGCCATGATCGAGCTCTGGCTTAACGGCGTTCTATTAAGTGGAACACGTGTTCTAGAGACTTTGATATTACACGCGGATTCATTCGACGGACCCTGAAAACAGAGCCTCGGCTATTTTATTTATGGACGTTTTTATAAACGAAGTGCTAAACACCTACGATGACACCGAGCGTAGCGGATGATGCGTGTCCCACGATAAGGAACATGTGACGTCCGTCAGGGGAAAAAGTGAAACAAAGTCTGAAGACGTTTACCGAGAAACCGATCCTAAAAATACAATGAAATATTCGGTTGGAACAAATTGTTTATAGAAGAGGATCGAAATTTTATTTACCTATCAGTTGGAGTAAAGAGGAATTGTATTTGCGTTCGGCTAAAGAAGAGCCACAGGGAGGAAAGCTTGTGGAGAAACCACGTTTCGGTTCGGGGCAACAAATCATGGATGAAGAGGCGCAGGCCGGTGAGATTTACAGACGTTGGCCGTCGGCTGGATCAAAGTTGAGACACGGAATGACAGATAGGGGTTACGGGGCGCAGAAGAACAGCCGAGATACGTCTATTCTGGATTCTGGCAACAATAATGCCTGCCAGGGACAGAAGTTAGCTCGCACGCTGGGGGCCTGTGCTCGGGGCGACTAATGACGCGGCTCGTACAAAGGCCGCGACGTTCTAATTTCGTATTATCCTATGCGGTGTACAGGTTTCACTAAAAATATGCGCCCCGGGTGCGTTCACTTCGCCGAGGGAGACAGGAATCCGCGAGTCGACGGACGACCGCGTAGCCAGTTACAAATCTATGACGAAAGGTTTTGCATAATCGTTGCAAGAAATATGGCTCGTCAAAATCCTAGGCGTTAGAATCAAAATCTCATCGATTCTAACAAAGGGTTCTAACAAAATTATTAACAAATCCTTGTGCTTAGCTCAATTGTTTTTATGCTTTATGCAAATGTACTCTTTCATCTTGCATATCACATGCATAGCCTTGGAGATGTTCAGAGTCGTTGCTTATTCTTAAGATTGTCATTTGCTTAAGGAACCTTATTAGTGTAAGACAAAGATTGTCGAAATGGACGAACAAACGCGTTAGGATGATGGACGTAAGAGAAAATGTATTAATCATACGTAATATAAATTAATATAAGTGATTAGGCACATAACGCGACACACTCTTTCGCTCACTGACAAAATCTCGAATCCTCTCTTTCATTTCTTTTTTTTTTTGTATCGTGCACACCAACGTCACGTTGGTGCCGGTTCTGCTCTTCTACACTAGTGTGATCGCTTAATTTTTATTTAGGTCATTTTTGAGAATTTTTTTTAAGAAAAGTATTCTATGGAATTTTTTTAAACTTTGTGGATGTATTTGTCTATAAATGAACTGTGTAAAATAATTTTTTTGTACAAAAATAGCTAAAGGCTAACAAGTTATGCGCTATTTTCCAAAACGCAAAAAAAAAGGGCCTCAACTACTCATACAGTTCGCTAGGGTGCCTCAAATGAAAAAAGACAAAGACGCTCTTAAACTAGAAGGTATTCTCCGTTCGATGACGTAGAATATTCGAGAAATGTTGAAATATGACAAAATGGCGTTTTTAAGAAATTTTTCGATTTTTTCCTTAAAAAAATTATCACTTTTTGGTTGCCAAAATTACAGTTTTCATCCAATCAAGAATATCCTATGTCATTCAACAATAAAGCATGTCTAGAAC